GGCTCTGCCCAGCCCGCATGGCTCCGGCGCGGCCCTGGTGGGATGAGTGGAGGTTTTTAAAATAATTTGCTTTACCTTCGGAGGCAAAGGGAAGGCAGCGACAGGAGCTCCTGAAGCCAAGTGTCTCCTCAGGGCTCCGGTTGCAGGGAGGAGCCCTGACTGATCCTTCAGATTTGAAGAAGATATGCTGACGTGCAATTCATATGGGGATGCAGAGGTCTTACAAATTGAAAAAAATATTTAAACGAATGTCTATAGTTTGTTTCTGAAAAACCCCAAACAGCTGTTTTCATCTCAGGGAGTTATAACTTGGAATTTGAAATGAATGAAAAATTGTGGTATTTTGCAGATGACTAAACTATGCTTAGTATTTTTAAAAGAAAAATGCAAAGAATTGAGGGAAAAAAATCTCTTTATCACTGCTTGGAATTCCAAGAAGAATAATTGATTTTCTGTATAACAGATTTACAGATTGCATAAAATATGCATATATCTTTAATGCAGGATAAAACTTTTGGAGCAGCTGGAGAAACTATTGTGATTGAGGAACTTCTTGAAGGAGAAGAAGTTTCTGTAAGTAAATAACATAAAAGAGGAGTCTGTTGAAATCCATCCTATAATTCTTTTATCATTCATGGATGGCTCAACTATCCTTTCTAAAATTTGTAATGTAAAAGTTTTCAGAAATCCAGTCAAGTTAACTGTTTTATGCTTCTTTGATTTCAATGCAAGTGTTCAGGAAAAATCACTGCTTAACTCTTCCTTACTGAAAACAATAGAAATTAAATATACTTACCTTGGGCTATATTATTGTCACTTTGAACATTATGCAAAAGTTTCAATTAAAAATGAAAACCAAGTTCTTCCTGTTTGAATCACTGAAACAAAACAGGTGATCAAATATTGTGTTGCTTTTTATCAATTAATCTTTACATTGGCTTTCTCTTGAATATTTCCCATGCTGCTGGTGAAGAGTTACTATGTGGTAAGATGGATGGCCAAGAAATTAACTAAAGAAAACTCCTAAATGAAATCAAAGCTTGGATTTTCAGGAAATACAGTCCAGCCTTTATTTTGGTCATTCACAAGTATAGCATAGTCAGTCCAACAATTTGCAAAGAACAAACAGTCAGAACCAGAATAATGGGCTTGATTAAGAGTTCATACAATATCAAAATGAATATAAAATAAATTGATATAGTTTAGATATTTTATCAAATGAATGAAATAAAATGGACGATGATTTTCAGGATTTATGTACAATGAGTGCTTAAATAGCCTTTCTCTACAAGTCCCATCTGTTTTAGACAAACTTTAAATTTTGTTAAAGTATGTGAATACTGGACATTATTATTTGTCATTAATAATTCCTTAGATAAAGTATTTGAAATGATCTCAGAGTCTAATGAATTTTTTATAAAATGTGTTTATTGTTTTATGTATATTGACTTTTATTCAAAAATGCCAGTGGAAATAAAGTATATAAGTATACGCTATACAATCTATCTCTTGTTATAAGCAAGATATTACTTATAATTAAGAGCTGACTAATACTCAGCTGTATGTTTAATATCAGAGTTATTACCACTGCATTGTTTTTATGTCCTACCTATTATTTTTTGGTTTTTTTTTTGTTTACAGTGCTTGTGCTTCACAGATGGTATCACTGTGGCTCCTATGCCTCCTGCCCAGGATCACAAACGGTTAATGGATGGTGATCAAGGACCAAACACTGGTGGAATGGGTGCATACTGCCCAGCACCTCAGGTAAGGTGTCTACTATGTTAGATTTCCTTAAGAAGCTCAAGAGAAGCCAGTAGTGCAGGGGTCGCCAACCTTTTGGACCTCAGGGACCACCAAACTCATAATTTTAAATCCCAGGGACCACTAACCTGTTCTGTGGGTGTGGCCTAATTTGTGGGTGTGGCTTGGTGGTCATGGGACTGGCTGGGCGTGGCTTGCATGTAAATATTATAAATATTTATATAAATATTGAAATTTTTATTTTAAAAAAAGAGCAACTTTTACCCAAAATCAGGCAAAGCAGGCAGGCAGATTGAGTTGCTCACAGTATCACAGATTCATTCAGAGATCGTATCTATCTGCCATTGGCTAACTCAGGCTGTCACATAAAATTTGCTAGCAAGCAAACTCATAAACACACATTAACTCATTAACTCACAACACACCATGTATGTAAATATTGATTTTTTTATATAAAAAAGAGCAACTTTTACCCAAAAGCAAGCAGGCAGATTGAGTTGCTCACAGAATCACAGGTTCATTCAGAGATCTATCTATCTGCCATCGGCTAGCTCAGTCTGTCACATAAAATTTGCTTGCCGTGAGTCTGCACTGAATAATAGAACCTTCAGTCCTAAGGGAGGTTCGGCTGTGCTTAAAAGCAGAGCCAAAGATCTAAAGACTAGTTAGAAAGCAAGAAATCCAACCATTTCCTGCTTTCTAACTAATCTAAATCTCCCAGAACAGCAGAACATCCCAGCTGATAGTCGGGGAAAAAAAGGAAAAATAGCAATTTAGCAGGCAAGTTTGCGAGGTAAGGAGTGAGTGGGGGGGGGGTCCCGCGGGCCATCTGGGCGTCACAGCCTTGTGTTTCTGCACAGCCTGGATTAATTGCTTTTGGATGGTGCTCTGGGAGTGACATTTCTCTGAGGACCACCAAAATTTTCTTGTGAACCACCAGTGGGCTGTGGGACACCAGTTGGCGACCACTGCAGTAGTGGGTATTCGGATTCTATATACTCTTCTTCTTTTCGATTTTAAGAAAAATGAGTGATATAAAATAATTGTCACCACTTTTCTTCATATCACTTCTTAATGGATTACTGGCATGTTACTGTATGATGAGGCAATATTTATGTGATATTAGGTGTTCCTATGATATTATATGATATAACAATAACATGACTTCTCTAATAAGATACTGTATAATAATTGGAATAAAACATGCCTTTGGGAATAAAAACAAAGTAGACGGATGAGGAGAAGCACAAGAAAAACTTAAGATCACAAAAAGAAATGCAAAGAATCCTTAGTCCTCCATTTATCATGAAAACACTTGGTTTTATCCAGCAAAAATAGTATTCATAGTTAATACGTAAGTAAAATGTGCTATATGTATTCTTCCTAAATAATAATGCACTATAAATTTAATATAGAATGAAAATAACATAATATAATAAAAGATTCAGTCTTTTCAAAATATTAATACACTTTGACAAATTTATATTTTATGTATGAATTTTTTTAATCCCATGATGTGTTGCTGATAATTTTAAGTTGTTTCTCTGTCTGCAATCTATATTCTTTTTTTTAACAAATTTTAATAACATGCAGGTAGTCCTCGACGTACAACAATTTGTTTAGTGATCATTTAAAGTTACAGCGGCACTAAAAAAAGTGACTTATAACCATTTTTCACAGTTACTACTGTACCATTGCAGTATCCCCATGGTCACCTGATCAATATTCAGACACTTGGCAACTGGTTCATATTTATGATGGTTGCAGTGCCCTGGGGTCATGTGATCTTCTTTTGCAACCTTTTGACAGGAAAAGTCAATGGGGAAGCCAGATTTGGTTAACCATGTTACTAACTTAACAGCTGCAGTGTTTCACTTAACAACTGTGGCATAAAATGAGACAAAATTCACTTAACAAATGTTTCACTTACCAACAAAAAATTTGCTCAATTGTGGTTGTAAATCAAGGGCTACCGGTATCTGTAAAAAAATTTATGCACCAGCATTGAAAGAGCTCATGGAAAAGGACAAAAGAAGCATATGGCCAAAACCAAATTATTACCTTCCCACCGAAGTGATACCTATTTATCTACTTGCATTTACATGCTTTCAGACTTTAGGTTAGCAGGAACTGGGCCAAGTAACAGGAGCTACTTAGGTCTCAAACTTCCAGTCTCCCGGTCGACAAGCCCTTCATCATAACTGTTTGGCCACTGCACCCCTTATAAGATAATATGGGTTCAGTTAAAGCATTGTTCTATATGGCGAGCTTTGTATATTACGTTCACCAGCAGCAGTGCTCCAAGGCACTGGGAGAGACCTATTTCTGATCCTGAGACCTTTTATATCTGAAGCTATAACATCCTAAAATCCAAGCCTTAGATTGCTGCCCACACATTGGTCAAGTATTTTCTACTAGTGAACTAATTCTCCTCATATTAACGGTCTATGATTATTCACCTCCCACAGTAACGTTGATCTGAAGTTCTCAAAATTTATACAACATTAAAAAAATAGATTATTTTTTTCTAACAAATATCATTTTCTGTAACACTTTTAGCTGTCTCAAGACATGATTTTGAAAATCAGAAATTCTATTCTCCAGAAAACAATTGATGGTATGAGAAAAGAAGGTATCCCATACATAGGTAAGTGGGCAACTTGTTCCTAGATGATTGCTTATAATATAAACACATTTTATATTAGTTGCCATACAAGTTTCAGAATGAAAAATGATTACCTGTAAGCTTCTAATAATTACCATACAAAAAGAAACAAGAATGCAGAAGGAGCAGGAATTCAGACATTAGTTACTGTACTTAACTAAGTTATCTAAGCTTTAGAGAAGGCTTTATGTATGTATTCATTTATTTTATATTATTTATATGCTGCCCATCTCCCCTGTAAGGCAACTCTGGGCAGCCTACAGAATATTAAAAGATATATAGAAAATAAATTTAAAAAATAAACTATGCAAAAAAACCCGAACCAAGGTGAAAGGCAGCATGAGGTTGAGTTCTTCTTACTCTGTTTGCCACCTCCAATGGTGAACTCCAAGCCAACCAGCAAACCCAAATTTGAATACGGATGAAGCAATTCTCACCTCTAGTGGTAGAGTGTTCCACAGGATTGAGCCTATAGTGGAAAAAGGTCTTCTCCTTCCAAAGATGTATCTTTTATGTAGGTTGTACATGTTTTTATTGTTGAGTAACAATATTCAACAGTATTATGAAAACAACGATCAGCATGATTGTTCTGCAGGTATTTCTAGACCAGATGTGTTTGTCTTAAGTATTTTTTGTTTTTTTAATAAGGTGTGCTTTATGCGGGGTTAATGCTAACCAAAGATGGACCTAAAGTTTTGGAGTTCAACTGTAGATTTGGTGACCCTGAATGCCAGGTGAGAATAATTAACTGCAACCTTTTACATCTCTGCATGTTCATATAGTTCAATAAGGTTTAATTAAATAATGCTGCATACTAGCTTAGTCAATACAATATTCAACCAATTTTGGATGAATGCATTGGTATAGATTGTATAGTTTTAAACTGAATTTTTATTTGGAATATACATTATTAATTTCAAAATTTGTAAGACTTTAGAGGACTATTTACTAAAGCAGCCATCACGATCACCAAAGAGCTTTTCCTGCATCTTTTACCAGCTTATATCAAACCTCAGTGTTTCTTAATTTGCCCAATTATAAAATTAGCAGACTTTTCCCCTCATCCCTTGTGATATAAATTGGCAACTGGAGAACCCAGGGGCAAGTCTGGCCTAAATCACCAACCAGAAGCCTTTATAAATGATTGGAGAAATTAGTGACTATGTCCAATATTTTTAAATCCATTTAAAAATATTGGTTGGGTCTTGGTCATTATGTGTAGAACAGTTTCATCCAAAAACGCACAAAAAGGTATAATAGAGCTAGTCCTCAAGTTATGACTACTCATTCAATGACCACTCGAATTGATTGCCATTTGGGACATTCCCTGCCAGCTTCCCAGAAGCAAAATCAATGGGATAGCCTGCAGGGAGGGTCAGACATTGCTCCTGCTGCTTTTTCTCCCAAGGAACCCCACTACAAAATATGAGATCCCAGAGATCCCATTCACTCTAGCAGCTCCTTCCTGTTATCTGTAGCACATGCCCATCCAACCACAGCTCCTACCAATGTGCTCTATAGTATCTACCCAAGGCTCATGCCAATTTACCTGCAGCCTGCTGGACCCATTGTGCTCCTTAACATCCACAGGCAGGAGCCACACACTCACTGGACTCCTTACCATGGACTTCCACCTCTTCCTGTTTTAATGACCCACATAATCCTATGGTTATAACAGCAAATAAGACTCCCAGGATTTTGGTTACTAAGCAGTGCAGTCACATGACATGTTTTACAACTGCATTGCTTAAGTGGCAGTTCCCATTGACCCGTCTGCAGTTCTCACTCACCCACGCATAGCTTGGTGTTATTGAGCTGCCATCTCAATACATTTCAGGGAAAGACAGCTTTACACCATTCCAATATTGAATAAAGGCAGAATAGTCTCACTGTTCGAAGGCATTTTTAAATTGATTGTTGTAGTGCCATCCATTCCAAGTGAGAACTGAAATAGCAAAAGATGGAGAATTGAAAGAAGAATAATTGTCAAGCACCGGGGAAATCAGAAGATCCAGGCAGTTCAAATGGGTATAAATGTTTATTTCAAGTTTAAGCTCTCTACAAGAATCTGATCTACTAATGACCAAAGCAAATTGGCAGTAGATAAGAATCAAAGGAATGGAAGATGGACTTAGAGTTCTTGTAGGCCTGAAGGGAGTCATGACTGTTTGACCCTTCCCTCGGGCTCAGCCTGGTCATCTCCTACAATAACCATTATATATTATTTATTTATTTATTTATTTATTTATTTATTTATTTATTTATTTA